GGTTCTTGATGACCATATCCCCACTTCAAATCTCTCAAAACAAAACTGTAGAAAGTCATCACAGAAGGGCCTTTTAAACACTGAAAAAAAGAAAAATATAATCAAGTAAATAATGAGTTTAATGTTCAATAACGCTAAGGTTGCATATAGTATGGGTTATCTTTCACCTGCTTTAGATGATATTACAATGTCTGGAGTGTATCCATCTGGAAAATATGGAACAAAATCTACGAGAAGTCCATTTACATCAAGTATTAGAAGTTTTTTCTTTGGAAAACCCGTTGCATCTCTTTCATTTGAAGAATTTGATATCCGTGATAAACTGTTTTTCTCTTGAACAGCACCGATGATATCACTTGTTGCATCACAAGCCAATGAGCGAGGAACCTTTTGATTTATGGTTTCCCCTCTCTCCTTCACATCTGATGTGAGTACACCCAGGGAGCTGTTGAAGGACACTTCTTCCACCAAAGCATTTGTTACTAGCTCAGTGGTGGAAGAATATTCATGCAAACTAGTTGCACCCACTTCATTTAAACAGCTGTAAGTAGCATTTTTCTTATTGTCTTCCGCATCAGAATTCAAACTTCCTTCAAGGGTATCTGCAAACTTTCTCCTTCTCCGACTTTTTTCTCTCTCTCTTTTCGTTTGGCCATGGATATCATCACTGTTTGATTGAGCCAAACGATCTTTAGTATCTAAGCAGTCATCATCTTTTCTAGTCATCGATGTATTTTCAAAATCCTTGAACCTATGAGCATCTGCAATTACCATAGAGCTTTCCTTTGTATTTGATGACAACTCTGTTTCTTCACTAATTGAGCAGTCAATTGATTCTTCCAACAACATCCCGTTCTCTTCTTTTGCAAAATTTTTAAGGTGGCCAGTTGTTTCCGCTTCATGAGGATGGGTCAACAGAGAAACTTTCATTTTGCCCTCCGCACTGGATTCTAAACTTTTTTTAGGGGACTCTAATGACCTTTCCTTTTCACTATGGCATTTTATTTTTATTATCCCTTGGGTTTCAACATGGCTTGAAGGAGTTGAATGATCTATAGTCTCTGTATTTTCATCATCTCTTTTGACCATATTCGTGCCTATCACATCTGGATCCTCAGGAACTAAAGAATTTTCCTTTCCATCGGCAGAACAAAAGTCTTCATTTAGGGAAGTAGACATCTCATTTTCTGCTTTAAGAACCTCAACGTTCAATATGGTCGAGACAGATATTCCAGAAGCTTCTCCACATTGTAAAGCAACACGCTTCTTCTCATTCTTTTCCTCTGAAAGATTTACTTCTAAATGAGATTGCACCATTCCTGGCTCCATATTTAAGCATATTTTGTTCAGCGATTCTTGAGAAACATTACTATCTGTTGAAGCATTATCTTCAGTAGGACCACAATCTCCGTCATTAGTGTTACCCCTCGTTGTATGTCTTTTTTTCCTTTTCTTTTCCAAACTAGCCTTTGCATCGCAAACAGCCATTTCCATCACCTGCTTTAATCTACTGTAATGTAACTCCGCAGATGAAATAAATTTAGGGATCTTATACTCCTAGCAACCTCAATATTCTCAGTCAGGGATCTTCCTCATTAACCTGAATACTTCTCAATCTTTCTTCTTCAAAGCTTAAGACCAGAGAGGTTGTGAAGGTAAATGGTATAAGCTGTTTCAGAATCCCGTCCTTTTACTTCCTTGTAATTTGTAAACTTAAATAGCAGCAGCAAACAAAACAGAGGAAAGAGATCAAATAAGCTGCATGAGACAGAAGTCCACAAACTTTTCAATTGAAAATTGAAACAATTCTACATGTACTGATGAAAACAATGAAGACTTCATAACATGCGATACGTGAACAAAATTGTATTGAATAAAAATGGATCCACTAGTTACAGATTCTCCAAAATGCGCAAGAGGGATGTTTTTCATCTCCTTTGGGTTTGTGGGGCTTCAAGCTTATTTTGTTTCATTTAATCAATGAAATACATTTGTAATAAAAAGAAAACCATTCCATTAGTGTAAAAAAAACATCCTAAATACCAGAACTCAAGTTTTCTCTGCCCATGAGTCTAATCATGAAAAGCCAGCACACAACTAACATCAACCCATATATAATTTGAAGAGAGAACAGATGGAAACATGGAAGAAATGAATTTTCCAAAAAAAAAAAAAAAATTCTTTCATCACTACTGCTATGAGGTGAAATAGCACTGAAATCTAGAATAAAAAATTTAAAACTAGTTTCTCTTACTATTTCAAGTGTGTCCTGAGAGAATCCAACATATACAACAAAATAATAATAATAATCTCAGTTTCTTAGCACTGTCCAATTTATCCATTACATAACCACTTACAATTGAACAACTAAAACAGAATTTACATTTGATTATCTTAACGCCACTGAACACTATTAGTAGGTATCCAGGTACTGTAAAATTCAAAGTATTTGCCTAAACGACTAAGGCAAACCCAAGTGCATCAGATGTAATGAATTCAAATTCTTAATTGCAAATTACTCTGCACGTCCCACTGCCCTTGAGTATATGGTCTTTACATATCCAATTCACACTATTATCAACTGTTTAACAGACCCTGGCTCCTAATAGTAGACTAAATAAACCAAAAGGTTTTCCTCCAAAATCAATATAATTAAATTCTTAAATCTTGAAAAGCACAATCATGTCTCCATTCTACCATCAACACCAAACGAAGTTAAACATTTACAAGAATTCGCATCCTAAAATTACAATCCTCACTAGAAATCGTAAAGTAGGTCAAGACGACAAAGACAAGAATAAATGTCAAGAACAGGGAGAAGAATTCCAGAACTCGGAAGCAGAGATCAACACCAAAAGGCAACTAAATTATCAATTGGTCAATGAATAATCACTGAACGGTAATTTTCGATATCAGAAAAGGCAGGAAATGAACCGCGCTAATCGAAGTGCTACAAACCGACAATTAACGCAAGAAAAGTATCAAGAGAAAACGAAAGTTAGAGAGGAAAAAGAAACCTCAAGATTCCGAATGTCGTTAGGATCTGAACGAATCAGAAAGAATTTCGTATCAACTTGCAGAAGAAGTGAGGAAGAGGAAGAGGAAGAGGCGAAAGGATTTGAATGTAGAAGTAGAAGTTGAACTCCCCCTTGGGACTTATTTCATCGTAGGTTGCAACCTTCAGAATTCCTTACCGGATTTGAAGCGTTGTCCTTAGATAGAGATTCATAGTTGGTAGTTTTAGACCTATGAAAGAAAAGTAAATAAATATAATTTTTTTAATACAATTACATTATCTATTTTAAATTATTATTTATTAAAACACGCGAGAATTCAAATATATATTTAAAGCTTATACAAAGCGATTATTTGGAGTCATTCGAGTTTTGAACTTGTTCCAATGTGATTTGATATTTTTTAGTTCAATAATGGTAAGATAGAAGTTAAACTCTCGCGAGCTGCCCTTGGGACTTATTTCATCGTAACCGCGAACTTTAGAATTACTTACCAAATCTGAAGCGTTATCCCTGGATAAAAATAATCCAGTTCAGTCTCATTAAATTTTCCGTCAGGATTATGCCATGCGTGTCAACAGACAAGTCTTGCTCCTCGACCCCGATAATAGAAACGGTTAGAAGGGGATAAAACAAAATAGTCGGTAGTTTTAGACTTATGAAACAAAAATTGTATAAATATAATTTTTTTAATAAATTACATTACCTATTCTCAATTATTATTTATTAAAATGGACGCGATTTTAAATATACATTTAAAGCCTATATAAAACGATTATTTGGAGTCATTGAGTTTGTAACTTATCCCAATGTGATTCGATATTTTTTAGTTCAATAATGGTAAGATGGAAGTTAAATTGTTGATTTCGAGATGGTAATTAATGTTCACGAGTGCCGGCAATAATTTAGACTAAATTGATAAAAGCGTCCTTGAATTTTTACGTTATTTTAAAAAAATCGAAAATGAACCCATAAACTTTTAACAAAAACAAATTCAAAAATATAATTATAGTTATTTTTTTTTTTTAGAGAAGAAGTTAATACTGTATTTCAAAAATACCTTAAATTTTCAAAAGTTTCATTATTGTATATATATATTTTTTAAAAAGTATTTTGGTAAAGGGGAAGGGTATTAATGAATTTTTTAAAGTTCAGAGTAGTTTAAGAATATTTTTATGGTAAAATAGTAATGATTTCTATCGGAAACTAAAAAAAAAAAAAAAAAACAAAACAAAACTTAGAGATATTTTTATTAATTTAGCTAATTTACAACAGTCAACTCGAGCCGAGCAACGCCTTTTCTCACCACCCCCAAACCAGATGAAAAACCTAAAAAGATGAAGACTAACAACACCTTCTACTGCCAAAGATTGTCCTCATTCCTCTATAGCCTCTTGCAACAAGATATGGCGTCTCGGCTTCCTCCTTCGGTCCTAAGCTATTAGGTGTAGAAGCTTTTCAGAGGTGGAATCTTCAAGTTCTTCTTATTTGACCCAAAACCGACCTTTGGTCATTTTCTGTTTGCTTTCGTCTAGAATTTGATTTCCAGGCGGTTGAGAGTTCCAATTATTATCTGAAATCCTCCTATATTTTAAATCAGCATGAGTTAATCAAAATTCGGTGGAAAGCTGCTACCCTTCCATGATTTTCCGAGATATAGCATATTCTTTCTCCTAAACCTATTTATTCTCTCACTACAAGATTAGTGTGGGTCTCGTGTGCCTTAAAAGACTTCAACAGGGTAGTCAAATCTCATCCACAAACACCATAACACTCTAAGTTTCCATTTCTCTTCAGGATTCTCCAACAAATAGACAGCCAAAGTCGAAGACTAAAAAATTCAGAGGCTTGTCTAACTCTTTTCCCTTCATTACATGATCAAAATGTAGCAGATAAAAGATAAGGATTCCAAAACAAGGCCCAGAATCTATTTCTCAAGCAGTCAGCAAAAGGGCATATACAGACATTAGCCAAGCTAATCCAAAATTTTGAACATATATATGCATCCTACTTGAGTTAATCTGCAGAAAGTATAAAGCAAATGTGTTTCGGTGCTAATACAAACAGCAGTATTTTTGTAATAACTTTACACTAAAATTTTGAAAGGAAAAAAATCCCACAAACGATCATTTTCAAACATTTACTGCATCAATTATATAACTAGAAAGTGTAAAAAGGATACAAAATATTTCATGAAAACAAAATACATACACGATATTTTGCAGCGGCCGCGATGCTCAACATATCTTAAGCTTCATTATTTCTCCAGTATCCACAAGACCATGACTTAAACTCTGACCGACATTTACGAACGCTGGATATATCACCTATCCATCCCCTGTAGATGTTCGAGACAAATGCATAATTCCTGATATCCACGTGAAAAGGGGAGGAACAACCTTAATAACGTTGCTCTCCTAGTCCACCACATTGAAAATGGAGTTTCCATCTTGTTCTATGACTTGACGTACTTGTCAACATAACCCTGCATAACGCATAAGGACAGTATTAATGCTTGAAATATAGAACAAATAACATGAGAGCGAAAAATAAACAAATGGAATATAATTTTTTTTTAAAAAGAGATGACGATATATCGAGCACAGCAACAAAACGCTCTCCAGTAGGCACAAATCACAAATAGGCCATAAGGTTGATTGCCAAGTTAATAATTCATAGCTCACCATAACAAGCTTGGTAAGTTTTTGTTGTGATGAATCAATGTATCGATTTATCTTTGCTTGAGACTTGGGTATTTGGTGACTCTTCATAGCTCCAGATACCTTGTCAACAGTCTTTTTGACGATTGTCTTAAAAGCTTCTTTGCTCATGTTGCCCTGTCTCCATGACGGTTTTAGAATTTCCTTAACAAAATCGGCAATAGCAATCCTGAAAAGCCTAAGGGACCTAGAACCTTTGGATTTCTTGCTCTTCTCTGAGGACTTAACCTGATCAATTTCAATCTCTCCTGATAAGTTTGCTTCATCATCAAAGTCATCCTCAACAGCACCAGCTTCTGCATCAGCTGTCTCCCCAAATTCATCATTATCCAGCGAAGTAGTCGAAGCCACAGCAACAACTTCCTTATGCTTGTTGTTCTCCTCCACATCTAGTAATTTATGGGAACTACCAAGTCTCGTCGTCATATGATATTCTCTTGTTTTTTCCAGCTTTTGACCACGATCGGATTTCCTAATTATAGGTGATGATGGCTCCATGCTGTCAAAGAGTGGATCATACTGATCACCACCTGGGCTGGGCAAGAGTTTCCCCAAAGGTTTGGTAGAGTTTGGAGACGCAGTTGTCAGTCTTGATCCAACATAATTAGCACCTTGGCCATCAACTCGAGCATTGCTCGCATTGAAAGTAGAATCGCGTATATCACCACTAGGTGCATCATTTCCAAAGTTCAAAATGTTAGAACTGTAGGTGGAGCTGAGTGGTTTCTCAAAAGTAGATGCATAAGGATTATGATAAGTGGTAACTCCCAAACCCCGAAAATCAGGGGGCAAAGATGAATGGTTCCTGATTGAAGGATCGGGATAATGTCGAGACATAGTACCAATCTGACTTGAGTCACGTAACAAACCATCATGAGCAGGCTGTGAGGCATAAAATGGCTGTTGAAACCGTGAATAAGGATGAAACTGTGAAAATGAACTTCGAAACTCACTAGGAGGGAAATTGTCATCAGAAAATTGCATTCTATTTGCATCTGTAAAGGGCATAGATTGGTCATTAAAGTTTCGCCGAGGAAAAAAACTTGAAGAATTCATCTCCACAGAAGTCCGCCCAAAGTTTTCTTCATTCGAAAAGCTCGGGAATCCAAATGGTAGACTAGGTCGATTGGTTGCAACTGGGGTACTAGATCTAATTTCATCCATATGCATTGGACCTCTACAAGGCTCCTGTAATGGGGACTCACCAATCTTTGAACGAGAATGCAACTCCAATGGCTGGGATTTCATAACAGACTGGGAACCTAGATCACTTCCTTGAGACAAATTACTCTGATGAAATTGCATTGGCGTACCATCTTTGGTCGTTGTAGGAGCCAATGTTGAATCATACAACCGTCTCGGTGGCAGTAAAGGGGTACTGTGGTCATTAGATGGTTGGATGGATACAAAATCTTGATGAGGATGAAAACCTCCTGGCAACGAAGATTTAGAAGGAAAGGATGCATTTTGTGACACAAAACTATATGGGGCAGAAATTGGAACCTCAGCACCATTGACATGTGAAGTCATGTGAGGAAGCAGAGGAGGGGGAGGAGGCAGCGCTCTAAGAGAATGGGCATCGTCATTAGCACAACCTGGAGCAGTAGCAGAAAATTGTTTCGGTATTGGAGACTCCGATAAAAATTGTGAGGTCATAGGTGGCTGACTAGCAGAACTGGCATCAAACTGTTCATTGATGGATGAAGTTTTATCCGGAAAAAGTTCACACTCAGGAGCTTTATTGGTGGTAACCACAGTTACTTGATCAGGTAATAAATTGGAGATAAAAGAACCATCCATCGGGCGTGAGTAGCTATTAGCAGTTTGAAGCTCTGAAACAAGCATGTTGGATTGCTGAGCCACAGAATTCTCCGCAGAAGTCAGCATGCTTGTGGAAATATCACCAGAGAATTTCTCAGTATCAGCATTGCTCATGCATTGTGATGAGGCCACAACTGAACATTGCTCATAAGACTTCTCTGTTTCTTGACCATTATTGTTAACATGAATGTGGACAGCTCCTGCTGGTTTTGAATTTATTAAATCTTCTTCAACTAAGCTAGTTCCATCTCTAGAACTCTGACATCTATGCACATCGCGAGTGGGACTATCAGTATTCCAAGCATGGGCATCATGCTTTGGGGACACATTATGCTGGATGCACTCCTGATTCTCAACTTTAATATGCCCAAGATCTGATATGTCCCTAGACGTGTTCATAGTGTCTTCTCTACTTTTTATATTCTTTGAAGTTGGGTGAACATCATGATGTTTGCTCCTGTGAAGTCTTGATCCATCGTTCTTGCTGGGTTCATGGTGCACATAGCGACAAGATGCTCCTCTATAGCACCTACCGCGCTGAAAGTCAAAGCATTTCCGTATCATAATACCCTTATCCCGTCTCATATTCTCATTATTAAATTGATTTGTACGTCTGCTGACAGGAGACCTGCTTCTGCTTCTGCTTCTGCTTCTGCTTCTGCTTCTGCCTCTGCCTCTTTGGTTACGAGGAGACCAACTGAAACAATCAAAGAGTAAAATTCCAATTAGTGATAATCTGAAAATCTAGTGAGTCAAATGCATGTCTAATTTGACATAATTGCGTAGGCTAGATTATTCTTTAACGACAACGAGTAAATTAACTTATATTTTAAACAACAATGTACACATGAAAAAAAATTGTTACCTGCGAGAGCGGCTTCGCCTCTCCCTTCTTCTCCATGGACTCCTTCGTCCCCTCCTATCGACAGGAGAATGACTTTCGCTACTACTTCTAGCTCTTCTATTCTTATGTCTCCTTATATAGAGTGAATCATCTGAATCACTATCACTGCCACCTTCTCTAACTAATCTTCCAAATTCATCTATTTTTACAGGAGATGATCCCAGCTTCACCTTTTCCTCATCATTTTCTTTTCGTAACTTGTCAGTATCCTGGACAACATCAACACTACGACCATTCAATGCATCCAAAGACTTAGGACTGGTGCTAGTACCAATTTGATTCCGTTGGTTGTTGCAACTCTGTTCATTCCCTGTCTTTCTGACATTTGCCTCATTGGCATCAAAAACCAACTTTGGTGGTCCTGAGAGGAAATGAGCACCAGATTCAGGCATGGAGTGTTCACAAGTTGGAGCATAACTCAGTTCAACCTGGCAAGAACCTTTTGATCCAAGATTAGTCAGTTGATCAGTGTATTTGTCTGAAGTCTTGGAAGATACTGGAGTTGAAGGTGAGACAGCAACAAACCGGACATCTTTAAGGTGTGATTCCTCATCGCTTTCTGAATTTTCATCCGAAGAATAGTCCTGTATAAGTCTAAACGGGCTGCCACCTGCAACAAGTGCAGCAGACTGACTAGAATTAGTGGCTTCAAAAGCTGCAACTTCACCAGATAGATTTTTGTCATTTTGCGAGCACGTAACAGAACTCTCAAAATTGTTTCCTAAAGCCGGTTCAGAAAGTCCAGCAGAAATTCTGTCTGGAATGTGAACTTGACAAGCTGCAGCGCTGACAGATTTTTCATGGCCAAGCAGTAGTTTCGGCCCTCCATCTTCAAAAGGAGAGACAGATACTTATTCAAACATACAAAAATGAAGATGAAAAGGCAGTAGTGCCATCTCTACATGAGTAAATACCATAAAAGAAACGAACTTCATAAAGAATCCATAAATCAAAAACCTTGAAGGAAAACTTTTGCGTATTCTGAAATCAATGGAACTTTGAAGGACCAGGATAGCAAATCAGAGTCATTGGGTTTATTTACGTGACCATATCTGACAAACTACAAAATTCCTGCAAATTAATTTAACTCTCTGGTTCAAATACTATAGCAAACACAGCAAAAAATACTATGCTTGATATCCAAATCACAGCTTTACACTGTTCAAAATTTTCAACAGCAAGTAAACGCAACTTTTTAATTAAATAGACCGCCCTGCTTAAAGATGTCATAACCTCTTATCTATCACCCACAGTGGAACCCTAACAGATGAAGAAAAGATTGTCTGTCTTGGCATGCGTTTTTGTAAAAGATGATGCAGCAAAAAAAACATAATTCTTGTTTCATTATTAAGTGATCATTTAAGTCATCAAAAAATGTTTTCTTTCAAGTTCCTTCAAATACGAAAAGAATTCATTTCAATAATAACCATGGTATCACAAAATAAAATCTACCATGTACCACAATCATGCTTGTCCTGAGTATGTTGCCCATAGCCCAACCCCATTCAAATTTTTTTACTTTCCTTTCATTCACGGATGATGTATACCCATGCTTAAGGTAATTTGCCTCGTAATGTACTATAGGGATGCGCTAGTTGTCAAATCTTTCTACCCGGGTTACATGTTATTAGTGTTGTTGTTGTCTCATATTGCTTGTTGGCGCATATCATTTACTTTCTCAAAATGATTTCTAAAAATCGCTTTCCAAAACTTTCTCAAACCTCCTTTTCTAAAACCGTTTTTCAAAAACAGGAGTACGAGCTGCGAGATAGGTCATTTGTGTCATTGGTAATCTAAGATTGAGTTGGCTTGTTTAGTGAGCCTCGAAAAAGTGTGATTGTGGCACTATGCATGAATCTATTCAACAAGAAATACAAAAATAGAAGGGCGTACCTTCAGCTTCTATCTCCTTTTCTCGGCTACATCTTTGTGAATCTTCAGGTCCTTGTAACTGATCCTTTACATCATACTCCTCTTTTCTTGATTTTCTCTTGTAGCTTTGAATTTGAACTAAGTGACCAGTTTCTTCTCCTCTAGCAGCTGGGGTGATGTCATCTTGAAGCCACCAGTAAGAAATCACCCACACAAAAAAAGACGGAAAAAAATTAGTATTCCCGTCGCTAAAAGGTACTCACGTTAAGCATTAACAAAGCTCTAGGTACAAGTAAACACCGTCATAATTATTTCCCTCAAAGTTCTTTTCATCTCCCAACTGGACAAAGTTTTGGCTCAAAATTCAATAAAAAACAAAGCCATCAACTTAAATTGGAGATATTTCTTCACAAAAAACTAAAAACTCTTAAAACAGTAGTATATATCCGATATAAAGAAACATACGAGGATGAGACTTGTATTTACAAAGGTAATAGAAATATTTTCAATAATGACTAAGATCAGAATAGCATAGAAATGGGATTCTTATATTATATATAGAGTATGCATTATGTACTTACGTACATATGTACGTGCATATGTTATATCCTAAAGGTTCTCTTGAGTTGAATGGATGGGGTATTTAAAACCAAAAATTATATAGAAGCATCTGAGCTGTATACTTCAAGAAACAAAAGCTCATATGGTCTTGTGATAATATTTTCATATGATGAATATAATAGTAAGTTTTATAAAATCCCCGTGATCCACAGATAACTGCTTTGGCATCATATATTTCACCCTGGTTGTCTCTAAATTAATAAGCTCTTATGGTCATAGGTCCTGCTGGTGTACGTTAAAGGGGAAAAAAATAACCCAGAAAACTGATTAATAAACTCAGCACCAATGTAAAACGTTACTGCATAGAGAGAGAATTGTCAACACTAAGACTAACCTCCCATCTCCATGTCAGAGTTTGCAGGTGAAATGGATGCTGCTGACACTGTCAAATACTCAGATTGTGGTTCAATGCCTAAAGATCTCGATGGAGATTTTGCTTTCATTTCTTTATTTTTGCAAGCCAAGCTATATTTCTTCTTCATCCACAGGAAATATTCATGGCCAATTGCAGATTCACTTCCCGGTTCACCACCAAATAAAAATTGAAACTCTGGATTCCCAAATTCCTTGTGACGAGTTGCGTCTTCAAAACTGGAACCATTACTAGCAATGAGCTGACATAACACTTCTATTTTCCTGACAATTCTATCATCTTTTGGCTTAGGTGGAGATGGTGGAAGAACCTGCACATAATCTTTGTCTGAAAATATCTCATTGTCAACTTTAGAACCCATCATGAGGCCAATACCACCCTCTAAATTTCTGTGTTTGTCATGCTTGGGTCTATTATCCCCTAAATGACTGGGAGATGCGACTACTGGATCATTTTCAAATGCCTTTAACCTTTTACTACAGTGAATGGTTGAACTAGGATCAAATTCAATCTGGCACAACAAGTTGGAGGAATCTGAGTTTGGAATTGAAGAAGAAGGCGAGGTGGGAGGAGGGGGAGAAGGTGGAATAGGTGGTGGATAGGATGGTGGTGGTGGAGGAGCCACTGGAAGCAAATGAGGTTCTCCAAGATTTGATTGCATGAGTCCTCCAAAAGAAGGGGGAGTAGGAAAATTGGATGTTGTGGGATGTTGTGGGATAGAGGGAAAGATCTGCAAACCACCTTGTTGCAACGGTGGATTAATTCGAGCTCCATACAATGTTTGTCCCTGAGAACGAGGATGAAGAGGTACTATAGTAGAAAACTGCGGAGGCCGTAATAAATCCGGACTAGGAGCATGAAGAGGGCGTGGTGGCGGCGGTGGTAGCAGCGGTGGTGGAGGTAGAACGTGATGCGTGTTCTGAACTCCAGACTGAGCATTTGAGTTAAATTGAGAAACTTGTGTGCTTCCATGGACTGGTGGAAACGTGTGAAAATATGTTTGATGGATATTTGTGATCCCACCAGATAGAACTTGAATGGATGGGCGCTGACAAAGGGGAGGTGGGGGAGGAGGTGGGGGTGGGCCATGGGAACCAGACTGAGACATATAAAGAGGTTGCCCAGCCTGGAGTTGAGGTGCAGGTGGTTGTTGAGTTATAGGACGTGATGGGATTGGAGGGCCTGGTTGAATATATGAGGTAGGAGGAGGAGGCGGAGGAGGTGCTACTGCACGCTGTTGGTATGCAGGTGGCCATGGTTTCTGAGGACCCTGCCCGAACTGAGAACCATAATTTGGTTGACCATACATCTCAAATCCTATAAAACTAGAATTTGACTGTTCTACAATGGTAAATTTTATCACAAGAGCAACAATGGCACATGCACATTCTTTAACTCAAGCCACCGATAAAGCATCCTGTGTCAGGCAAGAGAGAAAATGAAAGATCAACAACCATTAAGAAAGTACATCAGTTGATACCTGCAAAAAAATGCATACAAACAGTAAACTCGTCCAAACCCAATTTTAATCCCATGCATCATGGAACTATCTCTATTCTACGCTTAAGCTCCCCGATTTTATCATCTATTATAACAACAACTAATCACTGGGCTAGGTAAAATCATCATAACTAAACAAAAATGCCATGTTTCGGGTCAATTCTCTAGCCTAATAACCACAATCGACGGAACACGTTACCTCGAACTGGAAACAGAACTATGTAAAAGCTATAATGCATCTCCCACAAAGCTCCCCTTTCCATGAATATCATCAAAAACAGAAGAACGCGCCATTTCTCACAAACCCATCAACCAGTATACACAAAGAATTACAGAGCTAAACTACCAACTTCCCCTCACTTCCATCTCGCAAAACGACACACAGCGTGCGAAAACGAATCAAACGAAGCCTTGAGGACAAGCAACACAACTCATTGGCAATAAACAAGTTCTGAACCACTAACCGCATCAATTGAGATTCAAATTCGAGGCTGCGATCACGTAATCGTTAAGTCCTGAGATTAACACAAGGAAAGAAAAAAAAAGAAAAAACCCCCCAAGATTGTGGCCTTGAAACTCGATAGAGTATTAGGGTTTTGGACAAAAACAGAGTAGAAGAGCGTGGGAAAGTGGTGGCGCCAACCCTAGGCTGAGGCTCCTTCTCTATCTGATTCTTTCACAGAGTAACAGAAGAGATTCTATTCCACGTTCCCTCCCAATTGGAAGCGTAAGAATAAAGAAGCAGTCGACTCCCTCGCTCGCCAACCAAGCCACCCTAAACATCTAAACTTTAATTATCAATAAACAAACAATCACATGAATGTAACGGATATTTTTTTGTCTGTTATTTTTATTATTTTTTATTTTTTTGATAAAAATTCCTATTTAACAAATTAGTTTTATGTTGGATGAAAGTCCTCTAAATTAGTTAACGATGGATTTATAATCATAGATTGGTATGAGGCATTTTGGGAAGTCCAAATCAAAGTCACAAGAGCTTATACTCAAAGTGAACAATAAGTCACGAGAGCTTATACTCAAAGTGGATAATATCATAACATTTGGAGAATCGTGTTCGTCTCACCATTTATATACTTTTCAAAATTAAATGTCATTTTTATTATTTAATTATTTAATAATATCGAGTTGTTCGTGACAAAAAAATTTATGCTTTATATTATGATATTATTATAAATTTTCAAAGTTTCTAAAATAATTGAAAATTAAATATTTTTAAATATTTTGAAAATACAATTTTTTTTTTTCTAAAAGAAATAAATGGTCAAATTTGGAAATCAAGTTTTTAAATAATTTAAAAAAATAATAACTAATTTTTTAAAAGTTATTCCAAATAGTAATTTTGTTTCTCAAATTTACAAGTATAAAAAGTGAAATTTTTGCTATTTAAATTATAAATTGGCTTAGAACAAAAAGAGAAAAATATAATTAAACATGAAAATGAGGCATGATATCGAAACTCGAGAAATAAAAAAATTGAACCGAACCAATTGGTTCGATCTCTCAACTCTACTAAAAAAAATCGAACAGTACATACACCTACATACACACCCCCTACAGGGCTATTGATGGCATTACATAATACCTATCTACTTCTCCATGGGACTAATCTTTCCATGTACACAAGAGGATGCAACTAGAACGTGCTGAAAGTGAGCAAAGCTAGCTAAACGACGGTTGTTTCCTCCTCGAATGAGAATGACAGTCTGTAAGAGGCTGCGACGAAGGACCGAGCGAGTGGCTGATTCAAATGGACAGACTAGTGTTATGTGCACGACTCGAATCAGCACAAAATCAATGAAAGGATTCGTCATGATATGATGTAGATGTGTTAGAAGATGGTAAGATCACAGCAGTTTCCTAGTGTGCATCTGTGCGCTCCTATGAATGTACATGGCTACAGGGGTTTTGTGCATAATGGTTATCGTCACAAGTGTATTTTGTCGCTCGTTCATCGTTTCCACGACCATTTTGAAACTTCAATTGTCTCCCCGAAAGCAGCAGCTGGTCTTCGGTCATCTGATTAAAAAAACACAAAATGACAGTCAGTACATTCCGACGATTTCTAGACACGACATTACGTAAGCAAACTATACATTCCGAGGCCTGGCGAGGGGGCAGGACTCACAACGACTTCGATTTTCTGCTCGTAGTTTAGAAAGACAAGGCAGCATAAAGACCACGACATCATAGAATTGTTTATACCTCGGTCGGGAAAAAAGGAAATAGTTTTGTCTGAAGCTGGTGTTGGAATACTTTGTTTCTGAATGTCTGCCATGGAATCCAGCGCATCGTTTGTTTTCGTGTCTCGAGAAATTTGAACATCGATATCCATTGCAACGTGCATTGGAATACTATTTAGACTCAAAGGAGGAAATTGTGGACTCAAACTCACCTGCAAATAGAAAAGAAAAGATTTTAAACAATGATGCTCTCATACATAGAGAGCATAAATTAACCCTTTTCTAAACACTTAGAAAGTCATTCCAGACAGTAGTAGCTACTCTAGGGAGACTATGGTTCGAGCGGAATCATAGATTTTTCAAAGGGGTGGAGGCCAGCCTTAAAATTTTTTGTTTCTACTCGTGAGTTCAACAACGCATGGAGTAGAGGGATTTGAACATCTGACCTCTAGGTCGACTATGCTCATGTTAGCACGGTTACTCTTTCTAGTAACTTTTGTATTTGTAGTCTTGCACGTATTTCTGCCAACTGGGGCTTCGTTTCTTAATCGTTTACGGTTCGAGCGGAATCATAGATTTTTCAAAGGGGTGGGGCTCATTTCCCTCTTTTAGAACAGGGTACGACGAAGCGAAATGGAAACACTGGCAAATGTCACAATATCCAAAGATAAGCAATAAGAGGAACAATTTAAGAATTAAAGTTTTGTGTTCCCATTTCCAATTCAATATTGGTCAGCTCACAGAGAGAGATTTTCAAAATAAATTAGCTTAACAATGAATAAAAGAAAAGGGAAAGGAAAAGGAAAAGGAAACGAGAAGGGATGGTGTCACCTTAGTAGATGGTAGTGAAGCAGCTGATGATGCTGGCTCTGTTACGAGCATAGTCGAAGTGACAGCCATCTCGGGTTCGTGCACAGTAGATGCCTTTACATTACTACCCTCCTCGTGTCCATTATCTACTTCATCTTCCTCGGTCGATCGAGAAGTCTTTGACTTGATGCTGTGATCGCCATTCGATACTGTGCCAATATCTCCCAAAGTCCTCTTCCTAATTTCAGAATTTCGAGTTTAAACCATAATATTCCCAGAAGGAAGAGATCGACAAGCGAACGTGAATAAAAAACGAACTGTTTTAGCCATCATTCTGACCTATTAGTGCTATGATGAGCAAAGTTAGTAGGGATTGGTCTGTTGGAAAACAATATTCCACGCAGAGGTCTCCCATCGATAACGGTTTCAATTATGTATCCATTTGGTATGGTTTCCGTAACTTTGGCTCGAAAACTTTTCTTTCCTTGAAGATGCTGAGATTGATTCAAAGGAACATCATGTTTGTCTGCATTGTAGGACAACAACATGCCACCAGAGTTTAATCAGAATCATACCCCCATCAAATCCATAACTAATAACTATCTATTAAAGTTTATTTTGTGTTTTGGACGATTTTAATCTCGTCTTCAGGGATCGAGGGCTCTCGTTCATGTTCGACTTCAAGGGTTTCTTACTTTGCAAGTGTTTTCTTTGGTTCTATCAGCATCCTCTCTTGTTTGTGGGGTAATATTAACACTGTAATCACCTTAAAAAGTTCTATTTACGCAATCTATTCGCTATGCCAGGCTGAAATTATATGGGCCACGAGCAATCATGCTACCTCATAGGTACTTACATGGGATATTAACAAGGTACTTACATGGAACCTCATAGGCTTGCACAGGGATGGGTGGGAACAAATCAGTACTAATTCCATTTTGAACCACAGCTCTTCCATGAATAGCATTTGGATTCTGTTCTTGACATTTCAACTTCAATTGCTTTCTCAAAGACAACTTCTCTGGTTTCCTCTCACTTTCCCTTGCAAGTCCTGAAAAACAAAATTACAGAGAGACTATTTACGACCCATGAATCATCGAGAGCCTGTGAATGAGTAAGAAAATAACAAGAGTATAAACCTGTGAACAAGTAATACATATCATCGAGAGCCTCGAGACTCTTATTGCAACCGCCTAAAAGAGCAAGCACGCCAACTTTGTAAGGATCTAAACAGTCTCCAGCCACTGAAAATCTAGCACAAGGTCCATCACCCGTAGTTGTGATCTTGGTCCATACACCGGTTTCTATATCGAGTATTGATGGTAAATGAAAATGAAAGTACAAATTAGAGGCTTAAAGAAACCAACACCTAAATTTTAACCAAATGATCAAGATCAACATCATAGCATGACAGATTAGCTCATTTTCCTTTTAGGGGAGCAATTGAGGAGTTAACGACATACCAATATCGAGCATATAAAGGTCGTTGTATAGGTTTTGGGCGTCGGTAAATCCCCCAAAAACAAACAATCTCTTTTCAAAAGTTATGGTTGTATGACCAGCACGAGGCGTTAATAATTGTCCTGAAGTGTTCAACTCTGTCCACACTAGAGTATCTATAATAAAATTACAAAAGGATAGTCAGGAGATTTGTATATATGAGATACAGAATATATTTCCTGAACATCAAGGTGACCTGTGTCAAGGATGTGAACGTCTGACAAATAATAGTCGTGTGCATCTTCGCCACCGAGGACTATAACTTTATTATTCCAGGATGAGCAAGTATGGCTATCGCGTGGAGATGGCGGAGTCCCAGATGTTGTAGCTCGTTTCCAAACAAATGTCTCTAAAAACATAGAAAAAATGTTAACAGACACTAGTAAAGTGATCCAGACCACGCCAATGCAATTAAGATCATAGTACAGCAGCGAATGTGCATAAAGAAAAGCTTAAGCACTTTATAATATATTCTTTTGGTTGAGGCAAAAAGATGATGTAACGACTCAAGCCCACCGCTAGCAGATATTGTCCTCCTTGGACTTTCTCTCTTGGTTTCCCCTCAGTCGGTTGGGGAAAGGCTTCCATACTAAGGAATGCTTCGTTCCTCTCTCCAACCAATGTGGGATCTCACAATCCACCCACTTGGGGACCCAGCGTCCTCGCTGGCACATGGACCGGTGACTGGCTCTAACACCAATTGTAACAGCCCAATCTCATCGCTAGTAGATATTGTCCTCTTTAGATTTCCCCCAAGCTATACGAGAAAATCAATATTGGTAACCAATCAAACACGTTTTACCAGCCAGCCAAACAAATTGGTATTTGCAAAATCACTCTATTTATAAGAAAAAGGTATTACCTGTGTTCAATATGTAGAGATCATTGTAGTACACTTCATCATTATTGCTGATAGATTTTCCACAACCACCAAACACGAACAATCGTTTGCCAACGAGGGTTGCGCTATGACCCTCTCGAGCCTCTGGCCCCTCGCCTCTTAAACTTGGACAAATCCATGTATGCAAAGCTAGAAGCAAAGCATTGTGCAAATCTTTTAGTACCATTTATAGCTGCATTCCAACATTAAGCATTTCAAAACTACAATAGAACCTTTGATTCTCAGAGATAAAACGAAGAAAGTTAACTTACAAGTGTCCAGTATATGCAAATCCTTAAGAGGGCTCATCCCATCAGTACCCCCAAACACAAAAAGATTGTCACCAATTGTGGTACAGGTATGACTGTCCCTTGGAGTGGGTGGGCTTCCTTTTATCACAGGCTGACTCCATGTTTGTTTTGCTGCAAACCAGCAATCTAAGTTACCCACTTACCCCATCACTTCCAATACAATGAACATAATCAAACGCATAATCAATCAATTGATCAAAAGGGGTAGAACAAAATGAAGAACATGTAATTTCCTTCAGATCTTTATTCCAAAACCCATTAAAAACAAACCCATTACAGACATGAATCCCCATATAAGATCGACAAAAAAAAAAAAAAAGAAAAGTAGAAGAAAAGCTCGTACCAGTGTCAAAGACGTGCACATGGTTTGTCTGGCAGTTGTCCTTGCCATAGCCCCCAAAAACATAGAGATACCTTCCATCGTTAATGGCGTTACAACTAAGACCCCACCGCTTACCGGGCCCAGACATCTCTCCCAGAGCTCCATCTTGGCCCTGTCTAGAGAGTGGCTGGACCCTTTCCCACCTCATAGCTAGACCCTTCCCCACCAAGAAACCAAGTAGTGGGCTAAGCAAGAGAAACGCGAGGGAAAATCCCCTTTGCCGGGAAAAACGAAACCAGGGGGATTATAAAGGCCTTCATCTGGGATATGATTAAGTGGGATTTTCAGGTGTGAGGCTATGAAGCTCCATACATGCAAATATTTGGCGATGTATGTGTAATAGAATAGAAGAAAATGTGGTTATGTAAGAGAGAATATTGAAGAAATTATTGAGTTTCTTCTGGTTAAAACTATGAAAATGATGCGAAATTATCATAGAAGAACAGAAACCTGAAATTTTTTTCAACCTTCGCTCTTTGGGGCCATTAAAGTAAGGCCTTGGATCTCCACTGCTCCAAAAATAACTTCAAAAATTTTGACAATTTTGATGAAGGAGGAGGACCCGCTTATACCTCATTCATGTATATATATAAACCTTTGCTCTTTGGGGCGATTAAAACAAGGCCACCAATCTCCCTCCGGTGGGTTAATAATAACTTCAAATTTTGACGCTTGTGATATATATATATACACAATATATATATAGGTTCCCTGAGAACCGATCCATTTTTATGCAAAATATATGATAGAGTCAACAAATGAGTTATAATTTATTATTTATTATTTAATCACTGAAATTTATCCAACTGAAAACTCCTAATTGAAGTAATAATCCTATCTAAGTTATAACTACTTTGATTTTTTTTTTGTTGGTTTATTATTATTATTGGCTCGATTATCTGATCCTTTATAATTTTTTATTTTATATTTATTTGACTAATTTTTAATTAAAAAAATAGAGATTTATTAAAGCAATATTTATACATAGCATTTTAATCCAATATTTAAATTGTTTCATTTTTTATATTTAAAATGTGACTGCTTTTATATCGTTATATTCGTTTATTTTCATTTAAGTTATATTTGAATGCTTTTTTTTTATTGGTTGTTTTTTTTCTTTGTCAGAGTTTAACATATTTCGATATATATATATATTTAAAAGAAGAAAAATGATATTTGGCCTACTAAATTTAGTAGGGGGATTGAAATTGTTTCCCAAAAAGTTTTTTTTTTTAATTATTTTATTAAAAAACTAATTATAGTATTTTTAATATAATGAAATAAAAAATAAAAAATAAATGACATCTAATACATATCATTGACTATTGTTTAGGCAATGAGCGCATCTATAGTCGTCATAAATGATTAGTTTAATTTTTTTAAAAAATTAATTGTTTTTCAACCGTATGTGTTACCATGAGCTAGGCTACCTCGCTGACTTTACAAATTATATGATCCAATGATACAAATTTAATTCATTATTGATTGTTAATTTATCGACTCAATCACTCTATTGTAGACTTATAGTTGCACTTATATACATTATTGATAAGTCGCGCCAACTAAAATAATTATTAAATTTTGAGACAAACACATATGAAATATTAATATTTTCAAATGACAAATTAAAAAAATATATATTAAATACTAATTTTCTCAATAATATTTTTCATTTAAGGACAAAATGGTAGTTTCACACCATCCGGATATATATATTAATTGTAATGGGCCCATCCTGCAAGCCCATGTTTATAAAAGCCAAAATAGTTGTTATCATTCGGAATAATCATCGGCCCAGCCCAATGACTGAGCATTTGCCAGTTCCTTAGGTTTTCGTCTTGCTCCAGCTCCCACCAACGAGCTTCTTCTAAGGCGAGTTCCATCTTTCTTCTCTTCTCAGAGTTCATCGTCCTTCACGATGCCGCCATTACCGTATCTGCATCTCAGAAGGTTTTTTATTCGGTCTCTTTCATCATCTTCGTATTTATCTGCCTCGTCGTCCTCAAGTTCTTTGAATGAAGCTTCGAAGAGCGTTGTTTTACGTCGAGATTTGACCTCTGTTTTCCACCATTTCCGTCGTCGAGGACCGGCATTGGGGTGTTCTTATCTATCCCAACTCTCACTTTCTCATTCGTTCTTTTCCGAGTCCGGTGAGAATGATGTGGATCAATCATCGCAGTCGCTTGCGGCCGAGCTTCTTAAAGACCCCGATTTGGATCCTCTTCCCATTACGAAGCGCCTTCAGCTTTGCTTTTCGCATGTTAAACCAAATCCGGAGTTAATTCTCAATACGCTCAATTTCTCCTCGGAAGCTGGCCGAACTGTGTTAGGGTTTAACGAGTGGTTAATATCGAATCCTGATTTTCATCACACGGATGAGACTATATCGTATTTCGTCGATTATTTTGGTCGTAGGAAGGATTTCAATTCGATTCACGAAGTTCTTGCGAAGGGCTCAGGGATCAGTGGGGCTAAAACCCTGCGGTCGACCATTGATCGGTTCGCTCGTGCTGGACGACCCACAAAGTTGTTATCATTTTTCGAGACAATGGAGAAGAATTATGGATTTAAGAGGGATAAAGAGTCGATTAGGATGGTGGTGGAGAAGCTTTGTGAAAACGGCTACGCGAGCCATGCTGAGAAGATGGTCAAAGACTTGGCGCACGAATTTTTCCCAGACGAAGCAATTTGCGATACTCTCATCAAAGGATGGTGCGTCAATGAGAAACTCGATGAAGCGAAAAGGCTGGCAGGTGAGATGTATAGGGGAGGGTTTGAGTTAGGGACAACGGCCTACAATGCTCTGCTTGACTGTGTTTGCAAGCTTTGTAGGAAAAAGGATCCGTTTAAGCTTCAATCTGAGGCTGAGGAAATTCTGGTGGAAATGGATTGTCGGGGGGTTCCAAGAAATGTGGAAACTTTCAATGTACTGATTAATAATCTGTGCAAGATTAGGAAAACTACGGATGCACTAAATTTGTTTCATCGAATGGGGGAGTGGGGATGTCATCCTAACGCTGAAACGTTCCTTATTTTGATCAAAAGTTTGTATCAAGCGGCCAGGACGGGAGAGGGGGATGAAATGATTGACAGGATGAGGTCTGCGGGATATGCTGATGCACTTGATAAGAAGGCTTATTATGAGTTTCTGAAGATTTTGTGTGGGATCGAGAGGATTGATCATGCCCTGATTGTTTTTGCGAAGATGAAGAAGGATGGGTGTGAGCCTGGCATTAAGACATATGATCTATTGATGGGAAAACTCTGTGCCCATAATCGTCTGGACAGAGCAAATTCACTCTTTAATGAAGCTCAGAAACGGGGAGTTCCAGTCACTCCAAAAGCTTATCAGGTTGAGCCAAGGTATGCAAAGAAGCCAAAGGTAAAGAAGGTTGAGAAGAAGAGGGAGACATTGCCAGAGAAAATGGCAAGGAAGAGGAGACGACTGAAGCAAATTCGATTGAGTTTTGTCAAGAAGCCAAAAAAAACAATGCGTAGAGCATTTTGATTATGATAATAATGTTTGTTCTGAAACTCGATAAATTCTTTTTCATAATGTCCTCTGTTTTCTTTTGCCTCCGCCCCTCCAACCCTTCATTATATGATCTGCAGAGAAATAAGAGGTTTTTTCTTTGTCTTAGCCCTGTTTGGTGTTATGGCCTGAGCTGAAACAATGCGGGGCAATGGCAGCTCTGCCATGCCATGCCATGCCATGCCATGCCATGCCATGCCATGCCATGCCATTATATTGGACATTGGTGGATCGAAGTTCCAGGTTTGTTTAGGAAATTTTAACTTAAGAAGACTACATTGTTTTTAATTTTTCCTTATTCTGGCCATAGTAGCTATCTACGGAATGTTAAATGTAGGGCACTGCTTGTTCATATTTGATAAACTGAAACTGATAAACATGTTCTTTTTGAAACGTAGTTGGTTCTTCATTTATAAATTTTCTCTTGCCAAGGGTTGAATTAGTCAAGTATTCAACCCAAGGCTATTGCTAGTAGATATTATCTGATTTGGCCCGTTCTATGTCACTGTCATCTTCACGGTTTTAAAATGTGCATACTAAAGAGAGGTTTACACATCCTTATCAGAAATGTTTTGTTCCCCTCTCCAACTGATTTGGTTCCCTTCTCCAATCAAGGTGGATCTAACCATCCACCCATCTTGGGGGGTCAGCATCCTCATTGGTACACCGCCAGGTGTCTAACTTTGATACCATTTATAACAGTCGAAATCTACTGTTAGCTGATATTGTTCGCTTTGGCCTTTACGTATTCCACAGTTTTCATTTCCCTCTTAACGGTTGAACAAGCTTGGCCTTGTGTCCACCACCCCTCAGACTATTGCTGTTTTACAGATATAACCATGGAAAGACTGACATAATGTGTACTGTCTGCAGTGAGGCATTCAGATCAAATTCCCTGCATATCATACCTTGTTTAAATGCCTTCATTTCTCGATGATAATTGCTTCAATGGGATGCGGTTTACTGTGCATTTAAGCTCGTTTTATTAAGAATGCTTCTCCTTGAGGAAGCTATTGGACGCAGAAGGTTGCCAGCTTTGACTTATAGGCCAACCAATTGGTTTGTTTTAGCCTATAGATTATACTGCAAAGCTTCAATGCCATCTATTTTGTTTTAGCCATTTGAGTCAATCCCATTACCTTATAATGGTAGGCATAGTTGTGGAAAGTACAACAAAGCATTCTAAATACTTTTGGATTTAGTTTTTCTAGAACTATTCCGTGAAACATATTTGGAAAATGAATTTGTATATTGTTCGCCTATCCTTCAAGCATTCGAACTGGGGCACCCTGCAAACCTAACGCCCTGCTGTAGTAGAGTAAGTTTCAAAAGTCCTTTCAAGATTCTTAGTTAGGATTCAACGCCCTGCATTCTTTCTAAACCGCTAACAGCTTGACTTGAGACTTGAAAGTTCAAATGAAAGAGTTTGCTAGGCGTATTATAATAGCTTTTGTGATACTCAATCTCTTACTTTGTTTCTGAGTCATCTCTTACTTTGTTTCCGAGTCATAGGGATTTTCTTGCAGGATGTTAGGTGTGCTGGAACACCCAATCGGGTTTCTACCTTCATTTCTTTTTGTGCTGCTATGATGTAATGTACAGTCGAGGCATGAGGATGTATGGTATAAGGCTATATATATTTCACACACAAAAAAAATCCAATAATAATAAAATAAAATTGGTTAACTAGCATATTTCTCAGACATTGCCCACAAGAGTGTCGGCAAATCATAAAGTCTCCAGTAATTAAATAAACCCGGAAATATATATAAATAAAAAGGAAAAAGAAAGGAAACCCACATCAGGCCAAATCTCAATTATCTTTAATTTTATAATTCAATTAAAGAGAATTTTGTCATTAGATGGAGAGAAATAGAAAGATGATCATAAATATTTCTTTATATAAATAATATAAATTGGTCTACCAACAAAAATATGCATTTTAATTTTTATATTCTAATCTTTACCGTCTCTTCTTATGTTATTATATAAGAAATAAATTAGGTTAAATTCTAATAAATTAATAATAATTAATTTTTGTTATTTAATAACTCCTCCAACTTCTTTCAGCTTTTTAATCATTTTTTTTTTAAATTCAATAATCTAATACATTTTTCTTTTTTAATTCTCTAAACTCGTAATTTAACTAATAAATTAAAATATAGTTTGATTAGATAGCGATTCATAAAAGTTATTATTATTATTTGATCAACATTCATACAAACTTAATTATTGCATATTAAAATGTATCAAATGGACATTAAAAAATATAATGCAACAAACGCAAAAATCAAACAAAATGCACACAATTCCAACCTCCACCGACACTAAATACAATAAATTTGTGATTTCTCCACTAAGCCCCACCTCCCACCCAGCTGTCTCATCCTCTCACTTATTGACTCATTTCCTTCATCAAAATTACCCAATTGCCCTTTCCCTCAACCTCTATTTACCACCCTATCAGAAGCCTTCAGCTTTTTCTTTTCCTTTCCCCTTTTAGAATCACAGCATTTATTCCAATCTTCTAAACAAGGAAACCCACTTTCTTTTTATGTAATCACTTCTTATTTTATTTATTTATTATTTATATGTTTTTTTTAATTTTCTCTGTTGAGTTTAAATTAATTTTTTATAATTTCTTTTAATTTTTTTTTAAAGGTGAAAATAGTAAAGAAATTAAAAGAAAAGCATAATATTTTTAAGTGAGAGATTAAATAATAATTAAAAAAACAATCCAGGGGAATTGAAATTTCGGTAAATTAAAATGTTCAAAGGGGTAGAATTGGAATTTGTGCAATCAACGGCGGGAACTATTTCTATCAGAAACTGAGTCGGCCATTAAAGTCATTTTCTTCATTTCTCACAATTCATCGTTATAAAGCTTACACTCTTGTGGAATACTTCCCACTCTCTTTCTCTCTCTCCACAGGACACGGCTACTTTCCTGTGCAGATCTTGAGCCATTTGCAGAACATCGTCTGCAGCTCAGCCTGCATCGGGAAAATGAGGTCTCGGCCCTTCTCTTCCACTGGATCCGTCGCCGAACTTACCGGCTTTGGCCTCTTGCTTCTCTTTCTACTTTCATGCTTCAGTTTCACTTCGACAGGTCAGTGAACTCAACTTCCTTACTTATTGGTGGTTCCAGATTTGTCTAATGGACGTGGTTTTATTATCCGTTTTCATTAATCTATCCTGGTTATCTCATAGTTGGAAATATTTGGAGATCATGTGTACTTCAACTGTTAAACTCTTCTTAATTACATGATTTTATGTTTTTTTTTTTTCTTGATTGATCGATTTGAAATGTGGAGGTGAATGTTACGTTTTGTTACATTGAGAACTAATGAACGGATGTGAGAAAATGGTGGAATCTAGGAAGAATTGGCGATGCTTCTTATTATCCTAAGAAGTCAACGAGTTCTTTAGTATGGAATCTTTGGCGCATCGTATCGATAGTTATTATTATCATTACTGCTGATTATAATTGAAATTAGAAGAATGAGAGGCAACTGTGACTTCGAAAGTTATCTGAGGAACTTCGATTTTCATCGTTTTCATTGGATCTCTTTGCAGAAGCCTATGATGCACTTGATCCCAACGGGAACATCACAATCAAATGGGATGTAATGAGCTGGACTCCGGATGGCTATGTTGTAAGTTTCATATAAGTTTTGCACTTCTTTGGTTTTTCTGAGACAAAGCTTTTTACGGATGTAATAGTTAAAAACTGGGAAATACTAGACTATGAATCTTTTATTTGTTCAAAATGTATCAAGAAGATTTTATGAGTACCTCCATCATTTGTTTGTGTAGCACTAGCTTTAGCGTTTATGGGAGTATGCTATAAGATAGAAACTCCTTATATTTGAAAGGCCCTAATAGAATATGTATTTGATAATTTTATTTCCAATTATAATTTGTCTTTAGTGTTTGGTAGCTCACTTGCCTTCTTTCCTATTGATTCCCTGATCTAAACGGTTATCTATTTGGTGGCAGGCTGTTGTTACAATGTACAACTTCCAGCAATACCGCCATATTCAAGCTCCAGGTTGGACAGTGGGCTGGACTTGGGCAAAGAAAGAAGTGATTTGGAGCATGATGGGAGCCCAAACAACGGAACAGGGAGACTGTTCAAGGTTCAAAGGAAATACTCCACATTGCTGCAAGAAAGATCCAACCGTTGTGGATCTATTGCCAGGAACTCCTTACAATCAGCAGATTGCAAATTGTTGTAAGGGTGGAGTGATAAACTCCTGGGCCCAAGACCCAGCCAATGCAGCAAGTTCATTCCAAGTCAGTGTTGGTGCTGCAGGAACAAGTAACAAAACTGTCAAACTCCCCAAAAACTTCACTCTTAAAGCACCGGGACCTGGATATACTTGTGGTCCAGCAAAGATTGTGAAGTCAACAAAATTTATATCTGGAGATAAAAGAAGAGTAACTCAAGCTTTGAGTAAGTAAACTTGCCGAAAATTTGCACATTAAATTTTTAGGCTCAATGTAGAATTCTAATTTCGTCAAAATGCATGTGTGTATTCATCATTTTAAAATTTGACATGGTATCTGACTAATTGCAAGTTGTAACTATATAATTTACATGTAAGCATGAATACAAGAGATAAACATCAGTTAACGACATTTGATTGAATCTGTCCTTGTTTGTCCTATGTCAGTGACTTGGAATGTTACATGCACCTATTCTCAATTCCTTGCTCAGAAGACACCCACTTGTTGTGTTTCCCTCTCTTCCTTCTACAATGATACCATCGTCAACTGCCCAACCTGCACTTGTGGATGTCAAAACAATACGGCAGGTTCTGGGAGCTGTGTGAAGTAAGTTTTCTTTTTGTTGTACATCAGGCATTGTGTTATTTATTTTTCTTTCAACATTGTATTTGTGGTTGGTGAAAGATTGAATCTATTATACTCAACTCAATAATCTATTTCTGTTTAAATTATCTTTTGCAGTCCAGATTCTCCACATTTAGCTTCAGTGGTATCAACTCCTGATAAATCGGGCAACTATGAACCCCTGGTTCAGTGTACTAGCCACATGTGTCCCATTCGAGTCCATTGGCATGTGAAGCTGAATTACAAGGACTACTGGAGGGTGAAGATCACAATCACCAATTTCAATTACAGAATGAACTACACACTCTGGAATCTTGTGGCGCAGCATCCCAATTTTGATAACATAACTCAATTATTCAGCTTTAACTACAAGTCGTTGAGCCCCTACGGTGACCTAAGTAAGTTCTCTCTGGAAACATCTATCCGCATATAACATAGACAGATCATCTCATTTGATTGCTAGGAACCGGCTTTATGCAATTTATTTTCTCAACTATATGGTTGGTAAATTTGGTACTGTTTTGCAGATGATACTGCTATGTTATGGGGAGTTAAGTTCTACAATGATCTGCTCAATCAAGCTGGCCCTCTCGGTAATGTGCAGTCTGAGCTCCTATTCCGGAAAGACCAAAACACTTTCACTTTCGATAAGGGTTGGGCTTTCCCAAGAAGAGTTTATTTCAATGGTGATAACTGTGTGATGCCACCTCCAGAGGCCTATCCCTATTTGCCAAATGCCAGTTCCAGACCAGCTATGTCTTTACTTGCGACAGCCTTAATATCTCTGGCATTACTGTTGAATTTTGCTCTGTAAGTTATGCCCACGGAGAACAACAAACGCTATTGGTTGGTCTAACATGATTTCCTATGAGCTTGTGGCAATCTGGTCAATGGTGTTGAATTTACTGGTGCTTAAATCAAAGGCAATACGAGCTAGTTTCTGTTTGTAGATGGGTTCTTTGACTCAACTTCATTTCTTGTTTAGATTTGGAGCGAATTGTATTGTACAAATAGTTATATTATACGTTCAATCATTTTATTTGTATAATGATTAAAAGATATTTATCTCTCTCAGTGTAATAACTCATGAGACAGTTCAAAATTTTCATAGAGTGCCTGTTTTTTTTTTGCATAATTTCTTGGTTATTACAAGTTTACACATGATGGAGTTATTTCATTTATATAATCAGACTGTGTACTATAGAATCAAAAATAAGATTTGGACAACAGAACCATGTTTATACTGAATTTCTTCTGAAGAACATGGGTCAGGGAGGATATTCTTACTCAAGAACAACAAACATTGATTTATCTGCTCAGTATGTATTCTATGACCAATAAATTTGTTTGCATACCTGTGTTTGTTGTAGTCTTGCAGATTCTCCTTTGAATTGTGAACGCGCAAAGCTCTTTGAAGTTCATCAAGAATGAAACGAATGATCACTGATCACCACAAAAGCCAGATTATCAAAAGCAAGGAGGTGGTCAACTCGGTAACTGCACTGGAGCCTTCAGGAGCAGAGTTGGGTAGAAATGGGTATGATTCTGGTGGTGGCATCTGACATTCGTCGCCGTTGAAGTATACTTTTCTAGGAAAGGCCCAACCCTGCTTGAAGGTAAATGTATCCTTGTCCTTCTTCATTAGTACTTCAGATTGTACATTTCCAAATGGCCCTGCTTCCATTAATAGATCATTGTAGAATTTCATGCCATAGAACATGCCAGTATCATCTGCACATTGAATTTAGTAGTGCATTTATGTCAATTAAGACTGAAATAGCCAAACATTTGCATTGAAACCACAAGAATTTTAGTACTCACTAATGGATTCATAGGGAACTAGGGGCTTGTAGTCAAAACTGAAGACTTGAGTTACATTATTCAGATTTGGATGCTGCACTGCCAGTGTCCATAGCGTATAGTTCATCCTATAGTTGAAGTTGGTTACAGCAACCTTCACACGCCAGTAATCCTTGTAATTAATTTTTACGTGCCAGTGTACTCGAACAGGACACATGTGATGGGTGCACTGTAGTAAAGGCGTATTATCCTTTTTAGGAGTATTTATTCCGTCCTTGTGCAGTAGCTTTGAGTTACTCCTGCATAGTGGGATTAAAGGGAAAAAAAAAGATGATGTTATAGTCGCCAGCAACTAAGCTGGAGTTGAAGCCAGGAAATTAGACATCTGACATGAGGTTACTATTCATTCGGAACATATTTGTAACAGTCAAAATCCACCGCTAGTAGATATTGTCCTATTTGGACTTTTCCTTTCGGGCTTCCCCTCAAGGTTTTAAAATGCATCTGCTAGGGAGAGGTTTTCACACCCTTATAAAGGGTGTTTCGTTCTCCTCCCCAACCGATGTAGGATCTCACATACAGCAAGAAAGATTTCTATTCTAATAATCTGATGTTCTAACTTGTAAATATGTGTGTGGAGAGAATCCTGAAACACATTTGTTACCATCTGGGGCAGTGAAAGAAGTCTCTTACTTTATACAATTGTGTTTGTTCTGGCAGCCACATGCACAGGTTGGGCAAGAAGTGATCGTATCATTGTAGAAAGTCGAGAGTGATACGCAGCAAGTTGGGTTCTTAGAGGCCAGAAACTGTGAGTAAGTGCAGGTTACATTCCATGTCACTGCATCAGAAGCAGCATAAATCAACTTCAAGAGCTTTATCTAGAACAACTTCAAGAGCTTTATCTGAAAGGAGCACAACATGTAATTAGAAACAAGCTTACTCAATGCTTGGGTTTTCCGCCGGCGATCAGGAGTAAGGAAGACTGTAGAAGGCACAACTTTTGCAGGTCCACATGTGTAGCCTGGTCCTGGACCAAGCAGAGTGAAGTTCTTCGGCAACTTTACCGTTTTGTTCGAAGTGCCAGCTAGTCCAACACTCACCTGAAAGGCAGAGACTGAACCTACTGGGTCCTGTCCCCAAGAAGCCAACACTCCACCCTTGCAGCAATTGGAGAACTGCTGGTTGTAAGGAACACCAGGGAGCAAATCAACAACTACTGGGGTTTTCTTGCAGCAATGAGGTACGTTTCCTTTGAACTTGGAACAATCTCCTTGCTCTGTTGTCTGAGCTCCCACCATAGACCATATTACTTCTTTCTTGGCCCATGACCAGCCCAGGGTCCATCCTGGTGCATTGATATGGCGGTACATCTGAAAATTGTTCATTGTCACTACAGCCTGTTACAGTTCAAAAACAAACGATCGGGAATTTAGAAATAGCTTTACGCCAGTGATCCAATCTTCATTCATGAATAACTTTAATCGTCATTCATTGTTCATAATCCTGGAAAGCTACTTAAAGGTACTAATCAAATTGTGGTTACAGGGGAGGGATGAAAAAGCTGCTGATTCTTACAACATATCCATCTGGCGTCCAAGAAACTACATCCCATTTGATTGTTATGTTTCCATTCGGATCCAATGGATCATAAGCCTCTGAAGAAGATAAACAGAACCAAAAACAAAATCATCAGCTACAACACACCAATAACCAGACCAATAAAATGGAAGATCTTTCTTCTTGTAGCACGTACCAGTTGAATAGAAAGTTGCAAAGATCAGAAGTGCTAAGAGTACAACTCTTTTCTGTCGAGCCGAGTAGCATTCCGTTTGAAAAAGAATTTTGTGTGATAGATCACTGTAGGTATTAACTTCCATGGCTTGAAGTTTTGCAGGATCAAAAGCTTCCACCAGCTGAACTCATAGGATGCAGCTGTTCTTTGCTGGTACCATGGAAGTGGAGATAATGAGAAATGAAGGATACCAATATAGTTCAAGAGAATGCAAGAAGGTGTCTCACCTCTCACCTACTGGTTGTTAGATAATTCATGTGATATTTTTCAGCTACCTCTCTGTACACAATCACACAACCTCTGAAATTCTTCATCTATCTCTTTCAGTATTTCTGCATCTTGAAGCAAAGCTTTCGAGAGGAATGATGCAAAAGGTGGTGGGAGACTTTTCAGAGATCCGGAGATGACTTTTCATCTGTCAGTGTCCTCACACCAGAGGCAGGCAATTGTGCAGAACCCAGGACCTGAGTTTAACTGCTTCAAAATCAAGTTTTCCTCCAGTTGAACTGCACTGAATCAGTAAGTTTTGGTTTAAATATAGAGAGTTGATCTCAATGCTTATGCCAAAACTAATTATAACTAACTGGCCAAGCCTACCATTAGCAGATATCGTCCATTTTAGTCCGTTACGTATTGCCGTCAGTTTTATGGTTTTAAAACGTGTCTGCGAAGGAGAGGTTTTCACACGCTTATAAAGAATGTTTTGTTCTCCTCTCAAACCGATGTGAGATCTCACAATCCAATTCCCTTGAGGGCTCAACAGGCTTGTTGGCACACGGTTCAGTGTTTAGCTCTGATACTATTCATAACAACCCAAGTCACCGCTAGCAGATATTTTCCACTTTAGCCTATTACTTATCATTGTTATCCTCACAGTTTAAAAACACGTCTATTAGGGAGAAGTTTTCACACCCTTATAAAGAATGTTTCGTTTCCTTCTCCAATCGAGGTGGGACACTCACATCGTACACCAAAATGAGTATAGCTCAACAGTAGTTGACATGTATCCTCGATCAAGAGGTTAGAGGTTACAACCGAGCTTAACTTCAATTATTATTCACTCATTATTGTTTTAATTTTTTTACAATTAGGTGAGCTATCATGATCTTGACAATAATCTAACAACCTTTTTTTTTTTTTCCCTTTTTTAAAACAACATTAAACAGCAATTTAGTACCATATTATTGTGAAAACCAAATTATACCTAATGAGAGTAAGAGGTGGCAACAACTATAACCTTTTTTAATTTCCAACTGGGCTGGGCTTGTTGCTTTGCACTGAGGAATATAGTATGTTGTTCCACTAGAGGGCCCAGCTCTAAGCCATCCCGAGCCCAATTTCTTTCGGTTAGGGATTTTATTTTAATTTTTTTAAAAGCCAAATTTAAAAATATTTGTTAGCTTTAAATAATTTGTTCGTTTCTATTTTTATATTTAGATCCTTTTGGAACTGCCTATTATTGGAGGTAAGTTAATTTTTTTTAATTTGCTAATTATTAATGTTAATCCTTTACTTTAAAATTTATGAACTAAAATAAATTGGTATCTTATTCTTAAGTTGTCAATTCTCTATTTTCATTACTTTATAAATATTATAATATTGAAACTAAAAAGTTAATTTAATTCCTTAATTTTGAAGTTTATGTCAATGTGGTCCATAAATTATCAAAATTACAAATTTAATCTTTAAATTTTTAAAAATTTAAAAATCTATTAAATTTATATATAATAGATCAATTTAAAAATTTTCTTAAAATTTGATAAAATTATTATAAATAGTTTTTCAAACTTTTTTTTTTTCGTTTAAAATTTAATTTGACCTAAAAAAATAATGGTAAGTTGTCTCCGTGCTAACGAAACGTGCCACGTGTCATATGGCATATTCATTTCTTCACCCGCTTCTTCTGCCCGAAAATCAAAATTCTCGCTCGCTTTCTCTCAGTTCTGTTTCTTGTTTCCTCTACAGTCAACAATGGCGGACTCAATTCCCACCCCGCTTCTCAGTGATGAACTCGACATCGTCATCCCCACCATCTGAAACCTCGACTTCCTCGAAATGTGGAGGCCATTTTTTCAGTACCACTTGATCATCGTCCAAGACTATCAGAGTTCCCGATGGATTTGACTAAGAGCTCTACAATCGTAGCAATATCAATCGGATTTTGGGTCCTTTGGCCTCTTGCATTTCCTTTAAGGACTCTGCTTGTAGCTGCTTTGACTACATGGTTTCGAAGAAATACACCTTCACAATCGATGATGATTGCTTATTGCTTTGTAAGTTTACTCTATTCTTCCTTTTGAGCTTTTTGGGTCTCTGTTCTTGATTGATTCACACAAGATAATCAATTAAGTTATGCTCACGTAGTCGCATCAGAAAATTTGTAAGAATTCATTTGGTATACTGATGCATTTGTCACCTTGCAACTATAAACAGGCACCTTACCAAACTTGTAGAATCATTTGGTAATAAGAAATCCATATGATCTACAATAATATATCAAGTTCATATGTCTCTTAACTTATCTAGACCAAATAGAGAGATTTGGGTGCTGAAAAGGAAAGCTCAATAATGGCTTAGCTGAAAATAGAAATAGAAGTATTATCTTTCGCAAAGATTCATCAGAAGACATCTCAAAGCTTAATAATAGAATACTTCAAGAATGGTCCAAGAATAGTACCAACATATCAACGTTTGTGGAACAAAGTTTAGTTCATATGAAAATGGAATAAATCGTGCCTACTTTATTCTGGAGTTCTTCTCCTCACCCTACCCCTACAACAGCTCTTCCAACACCAATGCATCAAAATCCACTGCATTGTTCATAGTCAGCACAAACTTCGTCCTGCCACGCCACCTGTTCCAATACGAATCTGTTGTCAAAACTCAAGGATCTGAGAAAATGCCATGACATAGCCTGTTTTTGTAGGTTCATAAACAGATTGTAGAATGCTTTTGTTCAATGCCAACCAGCAGATGGTAGGAACAACAAACAAAAAGTTAAACCATCCTTCATAAAAGACTCAGTGAAGGTAATAGCATCATTAACCCTAAGAGACATCTTCATAAAAGACACTAAGGAGTCTCTTTAGCATATTCAGTTACATTGGTGGGTTAAGAAGCACCAAAGATTGTCCAAAGTCTATCTGGACGGCTAACTTGCTATTGCCTTTTAAGAAACAAATTTAAAAAGCTAAAACCACGTGCTTTCCAATGGCCATCACAGATCAAGTGCATATTTCAGGAATGTAGTAAATCATTGACAACAAGAAAGATTCCAAATTTAACAAATATGTAAATGGGTAAGGGCCATATCAAATAAATTAATGCTAACTAGTCATACGTTCCGTAACAATCTAAGCAGACCGATAGCATATATTATTCTCTTTGGGCTTTCCCTTCCGAACATCCCCTCATGGTTTTAAAACGCATATGTTACGGAGAGGTTTCACACCCTTATAAAGAATGCTTCGTTCTCCTCTTCAATCGATGTGGGATCTCACAATCCATCCCTCTTTAGGGCCCAACGTCCTCGCTGGCACTCGTTCCCCTCTTTGATCAATGTGAGATCTCACAATCCACCCCCCTTCAGAGCCCAATCCTCGCTGGTACACTGCTCAACGTCCACCCCCGTTTGGGACCAGTGTCTAGCTCTAATACCATTTGTAACAGTCCAAACCCACCGCTAGCAGATATTGTCCTCTTTGGACTTTCCCTTTGAAGGGAGGGCTTCCCTTCAAGGTTTTTAAAATGTATCTTCTAGGGAGAGGTTTCTACACCCTTATAAAAAATGCTTCATTCTCCTCCCCAACCGATGTGGGATATCACATATTCATTCTAGATCTTCATGTTATGTTAATGGAATTGACATGGTGAAACAATCTAGCTTGCAATCGGAGAAACGAAGGTAACTTTGTTTAGAAATTAATGGAAAACATAAAAAAATTCATTTTCAGAAATTTTCTGAGGAACTCCTTCAAGTCGATCTTACAAACATGGGAAACATACAAAAATCCAGTTTTGCAAGAGAATCATTTTTAGGTACCTGTTTTGCATAAAATTTAAGTGATCCGGAGGCAGCAGAAAGCATTACTTTCTTGCTTCACCTGCATAACTTGCCTCTCGTGCTCCACGCGATGAAGTTGTGATGAAAGCTGCAGCAAGTCAATGGTGGGGCTGCCTTCAGTAGTATCAGCCAAATTTGACACATGGAAAATACGATTTGTACTTTCAAAGTTTACCGCATCACTTGTTTCAGGTGTTGATATGGGACCAAGAGTATTCAACCCTGATGAATTGAATTTATTAGACACTCCACTCACAGAAACCTGAGAGCTTACTCCCATGAGCTTCTCAGAAAGTTGACTCATGCTGTAATGATTCTGGCCCTCGAGCAAGACCAACGGACGAGCAATGGGAATCCCTGATGAATGAGTTGAGGAGTTTTGTGTTTGAGATGACAGAAGAGAGAGAGCACAACCGGAGTCTGATAATCCTGATATTCTGTCGGTTGTTGCTGCACTAAAAACACTGAAGTATTCACTGCCTAATGAGGGGTTATTAAAGACACCTCCTACACTAATAGGATATTGATTAGTGTTCTCCTTGAACATGTTTGTGGCAGCTGCATTCAGTCCATTGTCATGAAAAGGGGGAATTTGAGTATCAATATCATAAGGAGAGAAGAGGGATTTTGAATGCAGGTGACCACTAGGAACATGAACAGCAGACAGAGGCATATATTCATTCTTGTCTTCAATCTTCACAGTCCTACACCAATCACTGGTTCCATATTTCTCTGGATGCATAATACCACCTGGTAATATCTCTTGGCAGATAAAGGACGTTGCTGGTGTTCCTTGAAGCCTGCTACCTGCATTTTATTCAGTGATTAGCAGAAAGCCAGAGATTACACAGCAAGTTTAAGAATAGAGAGATTGATGCAGTTTTAATACCATTAAATGACTGAAGAAACCTTCCTGCCCTGCCGGAGTTTAGAGCCACCTGAGGCCTTCTTCGACGTTCATTATGACCTGCAAGGCGTTTACGACAGCTGCGCTTACCATCATCAAACTCAGCTAGCAAATGAAACCTGGAAGTCAAGAGCTAATAC